GAAACCATGAGATTTGAAAAACTGGATGGTCAGTTGACTGAAAAAAAAAGTTTCTTGACCCTTTTGCATGTCAATTCATTTCTTGATGCGGTATTTTTCAAAACTTGCACCTATTTTTTTTTTTTTAATATGTCACAGAATCTAAAAGAATTGACTCAGGACAGAAGCAGGAAGCCTGAGGAAATTTCTATGTAATTATCAACCTTTCCCATTATTTTTGACCAAATCAATAACTCATGAAAATTGCCATTTGTCAAGACATTATGTAAAACCTATCCTTTGGGGAATGACTGTCCCTGGAGAAATAACAGAACAAAAGAGAATCCCAGATCGTAGGTGAAATGTCCCTGGCCTCAAGCTAAACCAAGGTCTCACCATGTGCAGCTGAGACCCCAGTATGTTCTACAGACGTTAGTCCTCCGAGGTTCCTGGCAATAGCCAGTCCTACAAAACTCACTAGTAGGTTTGATTTTCTCAGAACAGTGAATGTTACTGGACAGGGCAGGGGTTAGAGGAACCCATGGTCCCAAAAGCTTGGCAAACAGTATACTAAGCAAAGTTGAACTGTTTTCTTTACTGAAAAGTCATCTCAGAGACTTCTATGTGGAATGCTATTGTTTATCAAGAATGCTCAAGAGGAAAAATGGTTTCCCAAGTTCACTTGGTTACAGATTATTTTGTTCTGGAGAATTTCTCAGGACTGGGGTTATATTGAGGGAAACTCTGGCCTCTTCCAACATTGAAAATGACAGGAAAAGACCAGCCCATCCATTTAGACTAAGACCTGCTGCCCAACACACTGGTGTCAGTAAACATCAGCCTCTGCTCAGTCTCTCCCTCATCACCTTTTCTTGTCCAAGCTACAAAGTGTTTTGCTCGCTATTGTTGATGAAACCACTCCTGAATGTTGCCTTGCCTAACTTTCTGTTTTCTTTTGTTTTTCAACCTGGAACCTCTGCTATTCAGCCTAAGACCATCGGAAAATTCAGATATTTACATTACGATTCATTAACAATAGCGAAATTACAGCTATGAAGTAGCAACGAAAATAATTTTTTTGGTTGGGGGTCACCACAACATGAGGAACTCTATTAAAGGGTCGAGGCATTAGAAAGGTTGAGAACCACGGGTCTCTAAGATCCAGGGCTACAAAGGGCCAGTGGGTAGGAGGCCTTGGAGGGGAGACAAGGCTACAGAGAAGGAAGCTGGAAGGCACTGAACATCAGCCTTACCTACCCTCCCACTGAGCACAGAGCAGCTTCTATGCGGCAGGAGCTGTCCTGGCAGAACCTGTGAGGAGTGGCTGTGAGTTCCCATGGCACCATAAAGAGCGAGGGAGAGACAAGAAGGCCCTGGGTCAATGCTCACAGCACATCTTGGATTTTGGAAGCCGTATTTCTCCTTCTAAAGTTCTGTAATAATGGTTAGCTGTGACTGACTTCATTCTAACAGATGCCCCTGAGTGAATGGAAAGAAGCCGTTTCTACTAGTAAAGGGTTGTGGTGTGACTGTAACTAATGTTATCGTGGGAATTCATGGGACTTTAATCCATCTCCTTCCTTATGATCAGACATGTGCCATGTATCTGTCCCCTATTGTTTTGTTGTTGGTGGTGGTGATCTTTCCTTTCCTTTCCTTTCCTTTCCTTTCCTTTCCTTTCCTTTCCTTTCCTTTCCTTTCCTTTCCTTTCCTTTCCTTTCCTTTCCTTTCCTTTCCTTTCCTTTCCTTTCCTTTCCTTTCCTTCCTTTCCTTTCCTTTCCTTTCCTTTCCTTTTTCCTTTCCTTTCCTTTCCTTTCCTTTCCTTTTTTTTTTTTTTTTTTTTTTTTTGTGTGTGTGTGTGTGTGTGTGTGTGTGTGTGTTTTCTTTGTTTTTGTCAAAAATCTTTCTCTCCCTCGGAACCTTTGCTGAGAGCTTGCCTTGCGTGGACTGAACTCCTGCTCCTCTCAGGGGCCTCCTTAGTTGGCTTTTTCCTTCTGGTTGTGAGAACCTCTCCTTCCCTTCATTCCTGCGACTGAAGCTTGGTAACAACCCCAACTCTGCTGGCCCAGGGTGTTGCATGGCACCTTCATAGTTGCCTTTCCTGCTGTTTTGTAAACAAAGCTTTTGTAAATAAGCCTCCAAGAACTACCCTAATTTGCATGTGCTACCTGTTTTCTGTTGAGACTCAGAGATAAAACCCTCTCACCCATCTGTACTGTCCAATGTGGGAGTCACTAGCCACATGTGGTGTTGAGCACTGCAATGTGGCTAGTCCCAACAAAGAAGTGCTAGAAGGCCAGTTTAGTTCAGTGGATAGAGCATCAGCAGGCAGACTGAAAGGTCTCAGGTTCGATTCCAGTCAAGGGCATGTTCCTTGGTTGCTGGCTCAATCCCCAGTGGGGTGTGTGCAGGAGGCAGCTGATTAATGTTTCTCTCTCGTTGATATTTCTAACTCTCTATCCCTCTCCCTCTCTGTAAAAATCAATAACATATATTTAAAAGAAGTGCTGGGAACATGATGTTGAAGACTTGGTATGAAAAAAAAATGTAAATGACCTCAATTATTTGTATATTGACTACATATAAGAACCATACTTTTAGGTGTAATAGATATATTACTAAATTTAATTTCACATGCTTCTCTTTACCTTTTTAAAAGTGGGTTACATATAATATAACCGCTTCCTGCACACCCCCTACTGGGGATGGAGCCAGAAAAACAGGCATGTGCCCTGACCTGGAATCTAACCCTGACCTCCTGATTTATAGGTCTATGCTCAACCACCCAGCCACACCACTGGGCTGTGGCTCATATTTATTTCTAATGTACAGCTAGGCCCTGGATAACTAGTGAGTGGTCCCCGAAGGAACATCTCTCCTACAGAATGTGTATTTCTAGCACCCACATGGAGGGATCTCCGGTGCTGGGAATGTGAGAGCAGAAACACACAGTACCCCACCAGGTGGAAGCTGGGAGGGAGCTGGGAAGCCATCGTTTTCAGGAGGAGAAAACCCAGCCATGTTTGTAAGCACTTGCTGGACTACAAATGTTTCAGAATAACTTTAAAATGGTCTGATTTTTGTTGTTGTTTGTTTTTCTTCTGGAACGCAGACTGAGATACCTAGAGAGAAACTTTAAAATACACTAAATCTCAAGTTAGTATTAAACCTCAACTGGTTTGTCGATATCCAATTTTAGCACACAACGAGGCATTAAAACTTGGCAAGATTTGTTTGTGATCCTTGTAAAAGCCCATTGCTTTACGGCATCAGAATATAATAAGCTCTTCGCTGGCTTGTAGAAGAGCCTGGAATTGGTGCTTCATAAACATAAAACCCGTCCAGCACTGAGTATCTATCCACTCAGCGGGCACAGCCTCCACTTCCCCAGCAAGGACAGAGCCACTCAGGTCCCTTTGAACAGTTAAAGAGGAAGTCCTGGCTGCCACTTTCAAGGCCAAAGAGAGGTCAGCAGAGGGGAAGGGCGCACAGTCCCGACACTGGGCAGAGGGGATCCCCCAAGTTTCCTGCCACACTCGTCAGTGCCCACAGCTGGCCCAGGCTGCCTCAGCTACTACAGGGATTGGTGTGCCAGCCAGGCTACCGCCCACACTGCGGGGCGTCCTGCTGAGAGGAGGAAGCCCAGAAACCAGGAACAAATCGGATTGGAATGAAAACCTGCCTCATGCAGATTCCATGGCCCACCTCCCTCCTTTAAACTGCCAGGCGATTTGTATCCCTTCCTGACCCCATCTCCCAGGGGCGCGAGGAGAGGATGTGGGGTCAGAGGAGGCAAGAGAGGGGAAATCGCCTTTTATGAAAGGACATTTAACTCCTTCACACACACACACACACACACACACACACACACACACACACAAGTTTAAAAAATCCGTCTTCCAAAACTGGGCATATGGATTTGGAATCAAAGTTGACTTTTTTTTTTAATCTCAATTTCTCCTCTTAATTTATTGGCTTCTCTCCTAAGAGGTCGGGGACTCCTGATCATCCTAAATTAACAGAAGGAAGAACAATCCAAAGGAAAAACAAATGCAAACACTGCCGCGGGGAGACCAGCCTCGCTCCCCAGGGCCTCCGGGCCCAGGAGATGCGCGCGCGCAGAGGGACACCGCCCGCCCAGGAGCCAGGGGCTCAGTGCACAACCGAGCAGAGTCTGCGCCGCAAAACTTCGGAGGGTGCGGGGTGGGGCGGGGCAGCGGGGCGAGGAGGAAACAGGGGCCCCGGGGATTCGGAAGGGTCAGTGCTGCAAAAGACATAGCCCAGCCTGCGGCGTTGGGAACCCCTAACTCAGGGAGTGTCCGCCGGCTGGAAGTCCGGCCCCGGGATCCGGCAGCTCCGGCTGTCCATCAGGCGCCCCGGGGGCCGCCGTCTCCAACTCCGGGGAGAGAGAGGGGCGCGGCCGCAGGCAGGGAGGGAGGGAGGGACCGCGGCTTGGAGAAGGGGCGTCTCCCGGGCCGCCCCCGCCCTCTCCGCTGTCATTGGGCCACAGCTGCGGGGTCCGCGCCACCTTCTCGCCAGCCCGCCCGGCCGGTCCCGAGGCGGGTCGGGCCCACCGTTGACGTCACCTCCAAGTTTGCTGCCCCGGGCGCCCCACGTGCGGCGGCGGCGGCGGCGGTGGCCCGGGAGGCGGGCGGGCGGGAGGGAGCGCCTGGAGCGGCGGCCGCGGTGCTGACAGGTCTCCGCAGCCCGGCCGGCCGCGCGGCTCCCAGGTAGGGCGCCCGCGCCGCGGGGAGCAGCCAGGCGCTCCCTGAGAGGGGCGGACGGCTGGGGACGGGCCTCCCGGTTCCCTTTGGGGCAGTGGAACTCGGGGGACCTAGCCCCGGGGCCCCTAGGAAGCAGAGGCCAGGACGCGGGGCTGGGAAGCACGGTCGCCGCCGCTGGTCTGGAGAGCACAGAGCGCAGCGGCACCGCAGCAGTGGGTCTCCCAGAGACGGAGCCAGGGATGCCCGGCTGCTGAGCAAAGATCGATCGGGGCCGAGAGCCGCTCGGGCCGGGCTGAGACTCTGGGAACTGGGCGCCGAAACCCGCCACCAGGCTTAGGACTTCGCGAGTCCAGGACGATGGTCTCTTAAGCACTGCGCACCACGCCTCCCTTCCAGCCCCCGACCGAGGCAGGCAGAGCTCCCGCGCCGGCTCCAGGGGTCTGGCTCCCCGGCAGGGGGGCAGCAGCTCCCGGAGGAGGATGTCCTGGAGCCCGGAGGGGTCCCGGCCGAGCATGGCCCGCGCGCTCCCCGACGTCGCCTCTGGCTAGGATGGCCCCTCCGGGCCCGGCCGGAGCGCACCCAGCCCCGGCCGAGCCGCTGTCCCGCAGCATCTTCCGGAGGTTCCTGCTGATGCTCTGTTCGCTGCTCACCTCCCTGTACGTCTTCTACTGCCTGGCCGAGCGCTGCCGGACCCTGTCGGGCCCCGTGGTCGTCGTAGGGGGGCTGCCAGGCGGCGAGGAGGGGGTGCGCGCCCCAGGTGGCAGCGCCCTGGCCGGAGGCGGTCCCCGGGAGCCAGCGGCGTGGCCAGTTGCGCAGGGACGGCTCTCTTGGCAGCTGCGGCCGCGGAGGAGGCGCAGGCGGCCTCCGGGGCGCGAGGAGGCGGCCTGGGAGGAAGAGACCCCCAGCCTGGCCGGCGGGCCCGGGGGCTCCGGGGCCGGGAGCAGCGCGGCCGAGCCCCCGCCGGGGACCCTGGAGCTGCTGCTGGATGAGGGCAGCAAGCAGCTGCCGCAGGCCATCATCATCGGCGTGAAGAAAGGCGGCACGCGGGCGCTGCTGGAGTTCCTGCGCGTGCACCCCGACGTGCGCGCCGTGGGCGCCGAGCCCCACTTCTTCGACCGCAGCTACGACAAGGGCCTCGCCTGGTACCGGTGAGCGGGCGCGGGGCGCTGACGTGTTTGGGGAGGCCGTGGAGGGAGGGCCCCAAAGAGCCCATGTGGACCCCCAATTCACCTCCCTTCCCATCCCAGGAAGAAGGCAACAGGTCCTCAGCGATTGTCCTTAACTTGCGGGGCGCCTTCCTTGTACCAGGATAGTGGGTGATATCCACTCTGCAGGTGGGTGGGTGGGTGGGTGGGTGGGTGGGTGGGAAATGTGGGCCTTCGAGGGTTTTTCTTTAGTCCTCAGAATGCCCTTTTTCCACAAATATAATAGCCAATCTCATCTTTTCTTCTTGCTCCGAGAGAGGGTCTTTGTCAGCTAAAGAAAAAGGAAATCGCACCCCAGCTAGAACTTGGTTATCAATTATTGGGGGGACACCCCTCCCCTGAGGAAGCCTTTCCCTCCTGGTCAATCCCCTGTGCCAAATGCAGTGTAGGCCACCATGTATTCATTCACCTTGACCCCCAGATTATTTTTCTAGAAACTTCGTAAAAGTGTCAAGAATCAGAGTCTAGGAAGCTGGGAAAAATAAGTTGGAGCAAGTGCCAGCAATGGGTCACCGTGCTTCCAAGTAGGCTGCGTTGGCAATGACTTTAGTCTGGGGCGAGGGGTGAGAGGAGAGTAAGTACCTTTTGTTTCTGGGGTGGCAGAAACTTTTCCAGAGCGCTTCAGACAATTCTTTTTAGAAAGTAGGTAGTTAATTAAAAAAAAAAAAAAAAAAAAAAAAAAAAAAGGAAGAAAAGGGCAAAATGTAAGGACTCTGGTTATATGATGGAAAACCCTCTTAATACAGTTTAGGAAACAAGTCTGACTTAGATCTTAATCTTAAATTTAGCAGTCCTCTCCGATGCAGCCCATTTTTAATAATAGAATCAGCCAGACTCTAATAAATCCTAGTGTCACCTGGACTTTGTTTGCCATAAAATATTGGCCTTTTTCTTTACTCCAGGAGCAAGGAAAAATCATGTAGCCAGGACTTACCACTTCACAGTGTTAGCTTGTTCATTAAGTGTGCAGTCCCCTTGTCATTTTAACAGAAACAGTATTACAAAAGTTACAACACATCTTAAATATATATATCAAAAGCCCACTAAATCAACCATGCACCCCCCGAACAGAAATGGACATGATTTGACAAGTTTATTTACACGAGGGGTCAAACACTCTCTCAGATAGCTTTCGGGAGCTGAATTTACAGTAACCCAACTCATGAGAAAACATGGGGTCCTAAAAGTCAAATCCAAGCATGAAATACTTTAAAAACAGTCACTTTTCATTGGCTGGAAAGAAAAACAAACAACCCTTCCTTAATATGGAATATATATCACTTAAAATCATCAGTCTCTTAAAAAAATCCCCTTGTGTTTCTGTCATTTATGTTGTATCCTCTGGGAAGTTCTTATAAAAATGACCTGTTGAATCTGAAAACAACAGGTCCTTCTTTTTCGCACAAAGGCGGCTCTGTTTTTTCCATCAAGGACACAAGAAAGAAGTGATTAAAGACCCCTAAAACTCTTATCTGTAGCAGTTCCATTGAATTCGGCCTTGTACAGTGTATGAGTGAAAGCCTTACAAGCTGAGTGCCCCGAGTATCTGAGTCAGTGTTTGGCTCCGAGGTGCTATTATAGATGGTGAGATGTTTCGTACTAAAACCCTTTATTTAAATTTTACCTTTTAGACTTTATTTCCACAAAGTAGGATTGTTTCTTCATATTCCAGAAATGAGTGTTTGAGGGCCCAGGACATGTAGAGACTTGGATCTTACTTTCTGTGGCACGTTCTGAGCTTGTGAGAGAGGAAGGAAGGCTTCAAGGTAACTAGAAACACAAGTATTGGGAGAGAGAGCGAGAGGGAGAGAAGGGGAAAAGTCATAAACATTTAGAATGCTCTCTCTTTGGAAACTGGATGCGTACTGTAAAGTAAATCTTGCTTTGGATTGTTTACTCCAGCAGAAGAGTTTCTATAAAGCAATTTATGGCGGTTACAAAAATAACTGCACAGTAGACTTCATGGTTTGGTGAATTTAATTTTCCAAGTGTTGGAGCAATGTCTTTGTTTTGCCATTTGCAATGGGTTTTTATTGGACGCATAAATTTAAGTTTAACTCAATTACATAGGAAACTCATTAAAAAAAAAAATCCAAGCTGTGGAGCCTGGATTATGTGATTATTTAATGAAATTTTGCCACAGTTCCCTTTCATTTGGCCCTGAAGTTAGAGTTTGACGTTTGTGAGAAACACTGAAGATTTCACCTTGAAAAAAAAATCTCCCTCAGAGAATGCCACTTAACTACTAAGCGTGTTTTAATTTTTGGTTTGTTTATTGATTTTTAGATAGACAGAGAGAGAGGAAGGGGGAGAGAGAGGAACTTAGTCGACTTGTTGGTCCACTAATATTGATGTGTTCATTGATTGCTTTTTGTGTGTGCCCTGACCAGCCATGGACCCTGCAACCCTGGCGCATCCGGTGGACAACCTAACCAACTACCCTGCCAGGGGTTAACTGTTAAGTGCATTTCAGCTGCTTGCATTTAGCCAGTATTTTAGAATAAGGGGTTCAGTTAGACTTTCTTGAGTTAGACCAAAATTTGTAATATAGCACTTCTAATCCACACTTATGACCACGTGTGTGCACACACACAAACAGGAAGTCCTAGTATTTGCACCCTGCTGTGAATTTTAGAAGAGAGAAATCTGTGTAATTGCTTTTAGATGCTCAGTAATATGGGAGATTCACACATACATGTGTAGCCCTTTTTTCTGCCCATGGTAGTTTGCTGTGGCAGTGCCCCCTACTGTCCAGACAAAGGGACGGATCTATTGCTGTTAGGAAGTTGGAGGGCATCCCTTGGGGAAGGAGTTTGAGAGTTAGCAATGCCTTCTGGATGTTTTAATGTATGTATCATGCCGGGGGGAAAAGAAAGTACTTTATAAACTGCACCCCGAGAATAGTGTAATCAATTGTTTCTTTGAACAAATCGGTATGTAAAGGCAAAGAAAATTCACTTATTTAAAATATTTAAAAATGATTTTTTTTCTAATTAATTTAAAATGTCCTAACATTATTCTAAAATAAATGAAACAAAAGCAAATTTTAATGTTCTAGGAGATTTGATCATTCAGGCTGCTTCAGTGTAGTTTCCTGGCTGTGAAACACCACACGGATGGGTTTAAAATAGCAGACATGAGATCAGTACAACACATGTCTGCGGCTTGCACGTCCCGGGAAAGCAATCCTTTGCAATGAACGGTCTCCATTTCCATTGTCTGTGTGGTGGGTGCATAAAGGAGAGCAGGGAACTGCTTCATTGGCTTCTAGGCTGATTCAGGTCTTTTCTGGAAGTCACCACCACATGCCTCTAAGGGGTTTGAGAGCAGTGAGCTCAGGGTTGGATAGGAGGTCCTCCCTCTGTTCTGCACCAGCCAGAAGGCATCCTTTTTTATCTGAAGACGAGACATACCTACTCATGAAGGATTTAAAGATGTGTGTATTTATGTATATGGGTGTCTCTCTCTCTATGAATATATATATATATATATATATATATATATATATATATATATATGACCAAATTTTGTAATATAGCACTTCTAATCCACACTTATGACCACGTGTGTGCACACACACAAACAGGAAGTCCTAGTATTTGCACCCTGCTGTGAATTTTAAAAGAGAGAAATCTGTGTAATTGATGGAGATGCACACACACACATACATACATGTTTGGTTTCTGTAGCACTTTGGTTTCATATTTAGGACAGGATAGGAAGTATTTGTTAGCCAGTCTTTTTTGCTGGCACATCTATTTCCTACGTTTTGATTTGCTTCCTTCAGTGAGCCTGGACAATCTCAGCGGAGATCGGTATCATCGGAATCGTTTTGCTCTGCAGCATTCAGGAAGATCGGAGATTGCTGCGCTCCGTATTTGGGAGTCAGTTCTCCCCCGGCCGAAGTTTCCTGGCTTTCACCGGGCGCTGCCTTGTTTTTCAAGGCCAGGGCGGCCAGGCCGAGCGGAGGAGCTGTGGTTCTTCTCGGGGCAGGCGGGCTTGGCAGCAGCTGGGAGCAGCTGCAGGGACCTCCGCGCACAGTTTCCCACCCTCCGGAGCCGCAGGCCCTTCTGCGTGGAGGCCTGGACAGGAAATGTGAGCCAAGGGAGCTGCAGGCCTGGCCACCCGGGCTCGGTCACATGGATGACGGCCGGAGCGGACGCTCTGTCCCTAGGGCCGAGTTAAGAACATGGGGAAGGGGCTAGGAAACAGGACGAAGTTGCTGTGGACTCTGAGTCTAGGGCACATGTCTGGGGGGGGGGGGGAGGGAGGGGACGGCACAGTTTCTCTCATACATACTTTCCCAGGGGCTCTCGGTGATGGTCACCTCCATCCCTGAGAGGTGGCACACTGGCCTGTGGAGATGCCACAGTGCTGCCACTTGTTTGCTGAGCTTCTGCCCTGGGCACCTCCTGCCCAGCAAACAAGTCAGATAGCCTCACTCTGTGTGTCTGTGGATTGCACACCCACACGCACTTGGTGCAAGGCCAGACACCTACAGGAGGGGAAAGGGATGGCATTGAGACCAGGAAAGTTATGAAGTGGTTGGAAACTTCTGAACAGTATCAGTTGCCCTGCTATGGGACAGGCTTTGGGACTAATGAGTTCAGGCCCTAAAAGCAATAACAACAACCAAGCCACATTCAGCTTGGTCCTGGAATACCTCATGTGAGCAAATATCTCTTCATAACAAGGAGATTTATAATGTGCCGTTTATGTTTTATGTCAAAAGCATAGCCATCTATGACTAAAAATCCTCCACAATATTAAAATCTTCTGCCTTCCCCTTAAAGGAAAACACTCTGGCAAAGTAGCTGTTGGTTGGTTAGGAAATAGGTGTCAAATCGGTATTTTTGGAAGGGGCACGGGAACGCCCTGAGCCGGGGCTGTTACTGAGAATGGGGCTAACCTTCCACAGACGGATGCTCCATCTTGAGGAAGGA